CTGCTGCCCACCCGGAAGGCCCCCTATCAGGCACTTGGCCAATGCTGTGCTCCTAGCTCTGTCCTGGGCCCTGGGGACAGAGAAGAGGGCAAAGCAGATCAACGCTCCTGTCCATGGGGGGACTGACGTCGCAGAATCGTGTGGAGGAGGGAGGCAGGCAGTGTGTGACCAGGAGGGCAGGAGGGCTGTGAGCACAAAGGCCCACACGGGGCACAAACGAACTGGGCTGGAAGGTCAGGAGGGTGGAGGTGGCTGCAGCCAGGGCGAGAAGCCAGTGCGATGGATCATACAGGCCACCAAGGCCCCAGCTGGTCGGAGTGACACCCCTCCCCGCTCCGCGGGCCTTGAGAAGGAATGAGAGAAATCCTGACCTCCCGTTTCCTGGGAACACAAGAAACTGTCAAGGTCAGGCAGGGAGAACCAAATTGTCCCTGTAAAGGCCCGATCCCATCCCATCCTCCACAGGACAAGGCCCAGGGCTGTGGTGCCCAAGGAGGGGCAGGGTTCACCCACAGGCCCAACTTCCTGGTGACTGTAGGCTTAGATCTAATTTTTAAACTAAGTCGGTTGAAAGCAAGTGCTCACCTAGACCGGCTTGAACAAGAAGCCATGTGACACGGGCACCTGGCCCAGTGCCAGGAGCTATGTCTGTACCCTGGACTCCACAGAAAGAGGCAGCCACACCACAGCCACGTGGGTGCCACTGGCAGCCCCGTTTTACAGATGAGGCAACTGAGGCACAGAGGCGGGAGTCACTTGCCTGAGGTCCTCAGCCAATAAGGGGTGGTAGCCTGGCACAGGGCCTGCCAGACCCAGTGGGGTTCCCGTCCCTGGACCATGAGACCCTTTAACAGTCCCCAAGGCCACACACTCTGGCTATCACTGCTTCTCAAGGGAGTGAGCGGGGCTTCCCGGGACCCAGAGCTAAGGCCCCCCATGGCTCCTCGGCCCAAACCCCTTACCTCCGTCTGCTGCCCCTGCCCAGAATGTTCTCTGTGGGTCCCAGCTCCAAAGGAGGGCCGGTAGTCACCGTCCTCTCCCACAGCCCCTGTGCCATCCCCTCTGTGCGGGAACTGGTGAGAGGGGCAGCCCCACCCACGTCTGCATCACCCACCTGCGCTGGGCCAGGCCACATCGGAGGCTGCAACGGCTTTCGGGCCTCGGAAGGCCTGGCATGCCATGGACCCGTTTGTTGGTACAGTGAGGGTCGGGGCAGGCTGTGGGCAGGGTCGGGGAGTGGTCTGAGCTGGGGACGCAGGAAGGGCCTTGGACAGTCCCCCACAGATTGAGCACTAGTCCTGACTTCCCATGGGGGAGCGGCTGTCTGTGCCACGTTCAGAGTGAGGGGGAAGGGCACGGTAGATCCTGAGCTCTTTTGATACATAGAGTAGATTCGTGGACGAAGGAGAGAGCAAGCAGATGCTGAGGAAAAGAGGTATACACCCCAGGAAGGGCACACCCAGGAGGAGGAGAGTCAAGTGCCTTCCTCTGGGGCTTCCCCACCCTGAATTTTGACTTCCAGCCTCTGAAGATATGAGCAAATTAATGTCAAAAAAAAAAAAAAGTCTGTCTGCTCAAGTCACACCTTTGTGGGGGAGCAGAGAGCATGTAAAGAATAAAGAATCCAAAAAAAAAAAGAATAAAGAATCCTTTATTCTCATACATGAAGAAGCCCGGCAGTCTGGGTTTCTGGGGTGGAGGGAGGTCTTGGCCCTTGTGAGTTGGACGTGAGTCCCAATCACATTCTCATAATTAATGTTGTTCCCCACTATATCGTCCCATAACAGTGCTCCCTTAAAGTTACCCCTTACAAGCACCTGGCTGACTGCTATGTAGCCGGCCGGCAGCTTTAACTACAGGCGCACACATGTGCTATTGCTCTCCGGGCTCTGAAGACAGCCACTCCCTTTACCTGCCCCGGCGCTGGCGCTAGGTTACTCCTCCTAGGCACTGAGGGATACTTAGGGCTAGGGTACAGCCCACCTTGTTACCTATGTGGTTACTTGCCATTAGGGGGCCTTGGATGGCCCCCGAGTAAATATAAGCCTTGGTTGGAAATATATTTGCTCTCTCTGTGTGCGCACTTGGCTCCTGAAGTCATGGTGGTCCTGGAGGGGAGCACCCGCATGCTTTGTCTTGTCTAGTGTCTCTTTAATTTCACCCCTCAATGACACAACCGCCCCTCGGACCCATTCGATTGTGGGGGCTGGTACCCCACACTCCTGTGACAGCAGTACTAGGGGAGGCAGCCCGGCCTCTCCCCGGCCCACGTGCCGATAGCATGTCCTGGGGCTAGTCTGTTGTAAACTACCCAGGATCTGAAGAAGGCTTCCTGTCTGTGAGGCTTGGGCCGTGTGTCAGCCTCACTGGGCTCAGAGGTGACCGTGTATGAGGCCCCAGGCAAGGAAGTGGCTTCGGCACCCAAAGCCTCTCTCCATCGGGCAGGAGGGCCAGGAAGAGGGACTTCTGGGTAATTCCCAGCAGGTCCTGGCAACTGGGTGAACTCATTGCCCTGCCCTCTTTGCTCCGAGCAGGCCTACACGGGTTGTCCCCCACGCTCCCAACACACGGACAGCTCAAACATCACTCCCTCACATCCTGCCCCTGGGCCTCCCCGCACTTGTCACCTGAGGAGGACCGGTGATGGGTAGGTGACAGGGGGTTCAGTGGAGGACAACAGGGAGCAACCTCCCGCCATGGCGCGGCCGAGCGACTGTCTACCCACCCGGGCCCCTACAGGCCATCGGCGTGCACGGAATCATCGCTGCTGGAATAGCACCTTTCACGGGAGGCCTGGTGTGTGCCAAAGGAGCACTAGTGGTGTAGCGGTTACACCCTGGGCTGCTAACTGCAAGGTCAGTAGTCAGAACCACCCGCCCCTCTGCGAGAGGAAGATGGGCTGTCTGCTCCTGCAGAGTTGCCGTCTCTCAGACTCACAGGGGCAGCTCTACCCTGTCCTTCAGGGCCGCGAGGAGCTGCACTGACTCGAAGGCAGCGAGCTTGGTTTTGGTTTGGTGTGTGGCTGCACTGTTCTCACGTATTCTCACGTGCTGAATACGTTATCTTCAAAGCGACCGCGGTGGCCCTGGTGGTGGCACAGTTAAAAGAGCTTGATTGTCAATCAAGTCAGTGGTAAAGATGACAGCGAGGAACGCCACAGGGCAGCTCTACACTGTCAGCCACTCTACCTTCCCTGTCTATACAGGGCCTCGCGGGGCGGATGACGTCGGATGTGTGCTCGCACCCACCGGGACGTGAACCTGGCAGTCTTGATGCCCGGCCCAGGTCCTTGAGGTGTGCAGGCCCAAAGATGATGGCGGCGGCGGCCCGGGAAAAGACCGGGTTGCAAGTAGAAGCCTCTGCCCCGGTGTGTGTGACAGCAATGTGGCGACCGCAGACTGCAGTGTGCTTTACCAGCTCACCTCCCTTTCTCAGCCCAGGCCTGGCCCTCGCACAGCCCACGTTGCCTGTGGGGCCCAGTACACGTAAATAAAGCTGTTCCGATAGAAAAAAAAAAAAAGAAACCTCTGCCCCCTCCACTCTAGCGGCAGATGCGCACCAACCCCCGAAAAGGCCGCTCCATCCTCGACACCGCTGATTGCACACTGAACACGCAGGAGCCGCCCACTGGTCCTGCCGCGACCTATAACATGGCAGGGCTCAGAGAAAGGGGGTGTTGAGCCAGTCAGCTCCAGCCTCTCATTAGACCCGCCCAAGCAGCCTGAAGTCTTCTGGGAGAGCCACCCCCACCCCCTGGGCTGTGCAAAGTCAGGGGATTTCAGGGAGAGAGAAGAGGGGAGTGGGGGGGCCAACAATTGAGGTGCGGGGCTCCAGAGTTAGGCCCTCCAAACGCCCACTTACAAGGGCAGGTAACTTGGCTCCGCCTCTTAGCGACCCTACAGGCCAAGGTTGACCTGCCCCTGTGAGTTCCCAAGACTGTAACTGTTTATGTGAGTAGAATTCCTCATCTTTCTCTGGAGAAGACAATGTTTTATAAGACGGAGAAAAGTGGGAAAGGGACGCAAGCCATTGGGAGTTTGGATAAGTTGTTTAAATTGATGAATACAAAAATTATCGTACGAAATGTGAACCCCCATCAATGCACGGTAAAAAGTTTTTTTAAAAAAAATAGAGGAAATCACACGCACACTTGCTGGCGTGCCCACTTTGTGTTGCTAAATGTATTTCATGCAGAGTCCATACTGTATTTTAAGCCTCGGGGAGAGCTCTGCTCTGAATAACAGAGGAGCCACCTCCATGGCGCGGGGCACCTCTGAGGGACTGCTGGGAGCCTGGGCCTCTGGCTCAGGCGTGGCTCTGAATGTGGCCATGGAGGGGAAGGCCCTGGTTTCAAGAAGAGGTGCTCTGGTTTTGAAATGCAGAGCAAGAAGCATGTTCTGCCATAGAGAAGGAGCCCTGGAGATGGAGTGGGGGAAGCACTGGGCTGCTAGTGCAAAGTCGGGGGTTCACGCCTGAAGGTCAGCAGTTCGAAACTACCAGCTACTCCAAGGACGGAAGGACGAGGAGGTTTTCTACCTCCAGTAGAGTCACAGTCTCAGAAACCCACAGGGACAGTGCCACCCTGGTCCTGTGGGGCAGCTGTGAGTCAGAAGTGACTCAATGGCAGTGGGCGGGTTGGCGTCTGGGGATGGGCTTTTACGTTTCCAAGATGATTGCAAAGGAAGTCACCCTTTGTCGTATCCTTAATACTGCAAGGGGAAGGAGAAAACAGTATGCTTTACCATGCCACGGTTCAGCGTGGACTCGATGCAGTCTTTACCATCGGTCAACACGGAGGGCCCCGGAGCCCTGCCCAGCCACTGGCTCACTAGCCTGGCCGGTGTGTGGTGGGGCTTGTTCTTCAGTGTGCCCGCATCTGTTTGTGGAAACTCGTGAACTCAGACCCAAACCCAAACAACAGGGAGGCCTCGGGTTCCTCCTTCAGCGCCCGCTCCTCCTGCGTCTGACGTCAGGTCCAGGTGTCCCCCGCGCCCCCATACCTGTGTTTGAGAAGATGAGCTGCAGAACGAGGGGCCGTCTGGTGACGATTCCTGAGCCGCGGGGAAGGAAGTCCCTGTGAGGGGAGGAAGGAGAAATTACTCACACAGCTGGCTTGCAGGGCAGGAAGTGTGACCATGTGTGGTGGGGCAACTCTCTTGTCACTTGGGACACAAAGCTACCCCTCCCAGCTGGGGACTGGGGAGTTCTCTGGCTGTGGGGGGTCCTCAGGCCATGAACAGGGTGGGGTTCCTGGTGAGGGCCGGATGGAAGGTCAGGGGCCCACAGACACGCTCTTGCTGCCAGCCAGGCCTCCCGGAGTCGCCGTGCAGGCTCTCGGCTTCAGCACTCCAGAGGTCCCTGTTCTAACAAATAATCTGACAATCTCCCGCACACAAAACGAGATCCATTCGATTCCCTGTATGAAAGACCACAACCAAGCTCACTGCGGTGAAGTCAGTTCCCACTCACGGAGACCCTACAGGACAGGAGCCTCTGCGGTTTCTGAGACGGCACCTCTTTACTGGGGAGTGACGGGGGGTGTCAATCTGCTTGGCCTTGAGGTTAGCAGCCTAACACGTACCCCACTACACAACCAAAACCAAACGCACTGCCACGGAGCCAGTGCCAACTCCTGGTGACCCTATAGGACAGGACACAACTGCCCCCTGTGAGTTTCTGAGACCATAACTCTTTATTGGAACACAAAGCCTCATCTTTCTTCCCTGGAGCAGCTGGTGGCTTCGAACTGCTGCCCTTGTGGTTAGCAGCCCAGTGAGTAACCACTACGCCACCTGGATTCCTCAAATTCCCGAGACACATTTTCAAAATAAGTCCAATGCCACAGAAAGGCGAACTACAGGGAAAGCAGTCGTGACAAAAACCACGCCTGTTGCCATCACCAGGATCCGCAGTGTCTCGGCGGTACCTACCCGCCCCATGTGGGTCGGGACTGTAGGGGCTCTGGACCAAGGAAGTCTGGGGTCAGCATCCCCGGGACTCCCCACGATGAGGTTCAAGCTCCGTCAGCCTGTGGGTCCTCTGGCCAGGCTTAGCGGCATCTCTTCGGGCCCAGGTGCACCCTCAGCCTCTAGGAGTCTGGCCACCTTCAGGTCAGGCCAGAATGTGTAGGAGGCCCGGGGCTGCTGTGGGCTGGGCTGGGCTGGGGCGGCAGGCTCGGAGGGAGGGCAGGGTACGGATTCTCGAACCATTCACGGAGGCAGCTGTCACCCGGGACGGACCACCCACAGATTAGGTGGGTGGGACGAGCCTGAGCATAGTGAAGCACCCGGCTACATCCGAGGAGACCCCTAAGGCATCCGTGCCCCACAGCCCGGAGGCACAGCCAACCCTCCACACCCCAAGGGCCCGACGTGGCCCACGCTCCAGAGGACGGTACAGGGTCCTGTGCCAAGCCCCTTCAACTACGCGCCACGTTTCACACTGACCACAAAGGAGGGCACTGACCCCAAATTCAAAAGGTGTGGGGACTTGGGGTTCGAGGAGGTCACACGGGGCAGTCGTGCTAAATGGTGGTGGTCTGCAGCATCAGAACCCGGCGAAATTCAGTGGAGAAAACAAGCAGCCTTAGCCCGAAGATGCTGGCCAGGAGGCGAAGGTCAGCCGCATACACTTTCCCTCTCTAACCTGCCCCCAAATCCTGACCCCAGCTGCCCCTCCCAGTCACTCTCCCCTTCTTCGCTGCTGTTGAGACCCCACTGCAATGGCTACGGGGACACCCAGCCCAAGCTTACAGTAAGCGGTTTATGCAGGAAGTACAAGGTGCAACTTGGGAACCGGATCAACAGGCTCCAAGTCCGGATCAGATAGCACGTGGGCAGTTCCGAGGGCGCCCGCAGGTGGAGGGTGCGTCCTTCCCTTCTTCAATGCAGGGCAGGCCTCTCGGGCCTCCTCCAGGTTCCCCGAGGACAGGTCTCCTAGGTGCCCAGCCACCTCAGGAGAAGCCCCTCTGCCTCCAGCCCCCCTGCCACGGGCTCTGTCCCTTCCAGGCCTGTCCCCATCTTCAGTGTCACAGCTCTTGAACCACGGTCGTGGCTCCTTGGAGAGGTCCCTGCCTTCCGCTCTCTCTGAGGTCTCTCTCCTCTCGGTTTCTTCCAACTTCCTGTTGGAAACCCGTTGCTGAGGCTGGCTGCTCTCACACGCAAAGGCCTCATCCTGCTCACAATCCTGACCAATCCTCCCCACAAGGCCCACACTCCATGTCATAGACCACTGAACCCCTCCTGCAAGGCACAAAGTGACCACAGGGCAGGCTGCCACCCAGGACCAGCCACCCGCCGCCCTGCCAGGGCAATGCCGGTCAACCTGGGCAAAAGGAACGAACTTCTGGGGCGAAAAACTAGGGCAAAGGTTCACCTCCTCGGGTTGTTTGCCTCCAAAGAACCAAGGCAAAGAGGCCACCGAAAGCAACTCATCTCACCAGTCGGGGAAAGCTTCTCTGAGCCCCAGGGAACCCGGCGGGCAGATGCAGGCCACCTGGCCCCGCAAAGCATCTCCAGCAGAGCAAGGTCCTTCAGGGCACACGCTGCGGGCAGCGCCCTCTGGCCGCCAGGCCCTCCAGGAGACACAGGGAACCCTGGGACTTTGAATGCTGAAGGTAGCACACATGAGCCTGGCTCTTCCAGCACCCCGGACCACCTGGCTCACCTGAGAGGCAGCAACAGGAAAGCCTGTGTCCACGGAGATGCGGTGAGGCCACGTGTGCTAGTCACGGGAACTAAATGGTCACGTGTCGGCCCCCACCGCGTTTGCGTATCACCTTTTCTTCACCCCGTTCCACAGCTCCCCTTACCCGTTCCCCTTCACCAGAGGGTGGCTATTTGGGATCTTTCCAGTTTGGGACAGGGCTCCAAACGGGTTCGATCCAGTTTAACTCCCTGCGGAGAGTCTGCCTTTCCACCCCTGGTATAACACACCGAATCAGAACCTATAGTTTAGAAAGACTGCCAAGACTCTGATCTTACCAAGTTCTTCCCACCCTGTTGCTATCTGGTTAAAATGTAGTGTTGGACTCAGTACTGCCGAGGTAGAAAGAGGCTGGAACGAACCGGTTCAAAGGCCTGTCTGTGCAGGACAGTGACTAGCCAGCATGGCTCTCCCAGCCACAGTCTGGTCACTTTGTAACTGTGAGTGAGGTGTGGGCGGCCCACCCAGAGGACTAGTTGGAGGGGGTGGTTAAGATCGCAGAGTTAAAAACAGCTGGAAAGTTGGAGGGCGGACGCATGCCTGACCATCCCCTCGTCGGAACCAGCCTCTGCCATCTATCTACACCCTGGCTTGGGGGCCACTGCAGCTCACACTGCTGCCTGCGTCTTTGCACATGCCTTTGATTGGTTCTTGACCTGCAACAGGCAAAACTCGTCTGATAGAGATCAGGGCAACGGCCCCGCCCCCGGTGGGAGGACTGGGAAGGGTCAGGAGAGGACATGCTGGGAGGATGCATGTGGCTTAACATTATCTCTGTGTATGCCTGACAGACACAGGACACACATTGACATCTGTGCGAGTCACTGGTTTGCTCCGTCAAGAAAAAGGTCACGCAAAAAAAAAAAAAAAGAGGAGGATTTGCGTAAGGAAATTGGGACGTGCCGGGAAGTGCC